TAGGTGGGCATTGGTGGGGTTGTGCCGGTGGTGTGCACCGTGGACGTGTAAGACTGTGAGCTCTGTGATTGTGCACGTGTAGGTGTGTTTGGGGTCTGGGGTGCCAGCTCTTTTCTTTCCCAGCTCACTTCAATGGGGTGACCTTCTTCCCCCAGCTGAGGACGGTGGCTGAGGCCACAGGCAGCTCAGGCTCGCTCCCGCCCCCTCTGCAGACCAGGTGGTTGCTCAGGTCTTCGGCTTGCCCAGGTTTTTGGCAGGTGTGGGCCCCGGGAGCCAGGGTGGGTGGGTGAATCTGGGGCCAAGGCTTGTGTGCCACCCTCCTTCCCTCCCCACAGCAGGAGCAGCAGCGGGAAAGGTTGGCGGAGGGGGGCTATTTTGGGAGCGTCTCCTTAGCAACAGCTGCCACAGGCCGTCTGTGGCAGTTTTCCTATAGGTGCTAAAATATTCCACCCTGGTGACTACCGAGTACTGGGGGGTAGGCGAGGGTGGGAACGGAGGGTGGGAGAGACCCTACAGTCCTCTGCCCCCAGGGCACAGTCGGCTAGGATGGGTCCTGACCCCCTGGGCCCCACATCCCCTTTCCCTGCCTCTGGTCCTCGCCCTTCAAGGCTGCTCAGACTTTAGAGTCCTGAGACAGGCCAGCTGTGTCCTGTTCTGATTTCTAATCTAAGCAGCTGAGCTGCCTCAGTTTGTCCCATCTGTAGAATAGGCTGGCCGGACTTTAGGGAACTCTCCAGTCCAGGAACCTCTAAGCTCTGTGACCGATATTTTGAGGTGCTCTTTCCCTTCCCTCCCCAGTTGGCTCACCTTCCTGGCCCGCCTCTCCTCTCCAGTCCTCCCAGCCCTCTGCAGTGCTCTCTGGCCTCTGTGGGATCAGGGAGGCCTGACTGGGCTCTCAGAGTGAGCGTTAGACAGTGCTCTGCTGGCCTGCATCCAGAAGCTAGCAGCTGGTTCAAATCCTGGCTCAGACAGGTGCTTACTTCCTGAGTGACCCTGAGCAAGGCCCGTCCCTCCCCATGTCGCAGTCCAGCTTCCTCCCGTGCACCAGGGCTAGTCATAGTCTCTACCTCAGAGGGTCGCCAGGCTCGGATGAGAATGGAGGATGAGCAGGAAGCTCTGGCCAAACAGATAAAGGTTTTACCATCACTCTCCACCAAACTTCACAACAGGTCTCACCCTGCCAGAGCGCTGTCCTTGGCCACCCAGGCCACACCACGTGTCACACTAGGCCCGTGCCTCAGTTTCCCATCGGGAACAGTGCCTGTGGCACAGGGTTCTGTAAGGATTAAAGGAGGCAGTGGCTGTGAACGCCTAGAACAGTGCCGGGTGAATGGTGTGCATCAGGGGTGCTTGTCCTCGACGCCACCCAAGGGGATGCCTCTGTGTTAGATGATATTCTGAGGCCCAGAGAGGACAAGCAACTTGCCCAGGGTCACCCAGGTTCTGACACCCAAGCCCACCCTCCCCCACCCTCACAGCCTCTGCACACCTGCCTCACATCCCTACCCTCTGCCTGTAGAGCAGTGGTTCTCACCCTTCTGGCCCTTTAAATACAGTTCCTCATGTTGTGACCCAACCATAAAATTATTTTCGTTGCTACTTCATAACTGTCATGTTGCTACTGTTATGAATCGTCATGTAAATATCTGATATGCAGGATGGTCTTAGGCGACCCCTGTGAAGGGTCGTTCGACCGCCAAAGGGGTCGCGACCCACAGGTTGAGAACCGCTGCTGTAGAGCTACTCAAACATGGGCTGAACAGTGGTGAGTTCCTCTTTTAGATTTTAATCATCCTCAGGACAGGCCCTTAAAGGGGGTATTACCCTCTCCCTTTACATATGAGGAAACCGGGGCTGGAGAGGAGAGGTGCGCTGCCCCGAGTCACATAAGGTTAGATGGTGGAGAAGGGACTCTTTTTCCTGGGGCCCATGATATTTTCCCTGCCTAGAGCTGCCCTTTTTGCTTCTCCCCACCTCCTCCCAGTCTACCCTCAGCCTCCACAGGACCCTCCTTACGGGAGATGAGCAATGGGAGCCAGGCTGCGCCCCAGACTCAGCAAGGTCACCATCAGATGTCTCTTCTCATCTCCTGTGACATCACAGCCACCATGCCTCCCTTCCCTTCTCCCAAAAGTCACTGCCCGCAAGTCCCCACCCTTCTTTAAACTGGTGCCCAGTGACCTAATATTAGGAACACATGCTCCTGGGTCTACAGACACCCCTGTCTCCATCTCCCCCTTCTACCTGCACCCCCCTCTTTCACCTGCACTCCACACTCTCAGGGCCAACACCAGGCCAGGCCATTTGCCTCACCTGCACTCTCCTACTCTCAATCCCTGGAAAGGTGTGATGGGTACCAGGCACACGCCTGCTGCTGGACCAGCATTCAGATGGCTTGAGTTTGCCCATTCGTTCACATACCAAGATGCACTCAACGGAACTTGAGTCCTGGTTGCATGCCTATGAGAGCACAGCTGGGCACGGAGGGAGCCGGGCGTGGGATGGGACATGCACCATGGAGGTCTGCACAGTGGTGAAGGGAGGACGGAGAGGGGATGGTCACTTTTACTGAGCATCTACTGTGAGCTATGCATGCTTGTGCATCTATCACTGGATCTGCTCCTTTGAGGGGAGGGGCTGATAGGCCCCCGTCGTACAGACAGGTTAAATAAAACACTTGCTCAAGGTCGTGCAGTTCCGAAGTGCTTTGGAGCCCAGGTTGGCCTGACTCCCAAGCTCACTTACCAAGAACCAAACTTGTGCCCAGTGCTGGGTGAATGAATGAGGGGGTGGTGGGTGACTTCCGCAGGGGGTGTCAGGAGGCCTTCCTGGGGGAGGTAGCATGGAGCCTGGGCCTGGAGAAGAGCAGGGATTCTCTGGGCCGAGGAGGAGGAAGGGCATTTCAGTCAGGAAGAACAGCATGTGCAAAGGCAGAGAGGTGTGGAAGCAGCTGGTGTGTTCTGGAATCTGTGGGAATCAGGGTGTTCGTGGAGGTATATGGGGGTGGGGTAAAGTGGGGCCTGGCTGTGCATCACCCCAGAAGTCGGGACTAGATCCTTTCAGGTGGGGAGGGTCTGGGGGCAGGGGAGCAGTCAGGGTGGTTCATGTGTTGTGGCTCCTGTGCTGGTTGCATCTTCCGGGGTCAGCTTGAAGGAGCTGGAGATTTCATATTCAGTAAGTTCTCAGTCCGACTTCGGGGTGCCTCAGTCTCTCCCTCTCTCAACTGGGGGTGGTCGGAGATGGCCCGGCTCCTGGGAAGTTCCTCTGGTTGTCTAACTGCAGGTGTGCTCTCATCCCACTGCCCAGGAGGAGCGCTTTCCCACCTGCTTCCTCGGAGGGCTGGGGTGAATGGCCAGGGAAGCGGCTGGCTCCCCAGGGGCAGGGGTACTGGGGACTTGCCCCCACAGTCCAGTGTGTGGAACCCAGACCTGGGGCGCAGTCAGGGCGCGACCCTCCCCGGGTGACTTTGGCAGGCTGGTGACGTCGGTACTCAGTCTCCCAGTCTGTAAAATGGGCGGTGCTGCCCTAGGCGATTGAGAGGGCCCCTCCAGCAGGAGCGGGGTGCATAGGGTCCTTCAGGAGGGGAGCGGCCCGGCGCCCAGGAACCCAGCACCGACCCTGTCCCACCCACTCCCTTCCCGGCACAGGAACCCTCTCCACCTGCCCCTGGGGGGCTGGAAAGCCCGGGAGCGGATGATCGGAATGGGTTCTGGGAGGAGCGCTCCGGGAGGCAGGAGGAAAACCCGGACCGGATCTAAGGCAGGAGCGGGGCCACGCAGCCCCCAGCCCCGCGCGACGGGCGGGTGGGAGGGGGTTTGACGTCCCCCGGGCCAGGGCGGAGGGGAAGGGCCGGGCCGGGCCCCGTGGGCCGTCGGGGGCTCCGGGGCTGGCGGGGTGGTGGTGGTGGTGCAGCCCCCGCAGCGGGGTGCGGGTCACGTGCGAGGAGGGGCGAAAGTCTCGCAAACGGGGCGGCGTGAGCCGAGTTGGGAGTTCTCGGCGCCGCGGGCGGCGGGAGCGCGGGCTCCCGGGCGAGCCGGGGACGCAGCGGCGGCGGGGACTGAGTCTGGGTCCGAGACGGCGGGGCGCGCCGAGAGCGCGAGGGAGAGACAGACGAAGAAGGACAGAGACGGGGCGGGAGACCGGCTGAGACGCGCAGGGGAGAGACGCCGGGCAGAGAGGGGGCGGCAGGGGCGAGGCGGGGAGGACGGCGGGACGGAGACAGACCCGCAGGGAGAGACGGCGAGAGCGCGGGAGACAGAGAGACCGGGGCCGGAGGGGGACGGGGACCGAGAGGGGCGGAGACGGGGCCGGCGGGGAGGTGGCGGCGGAGCCCGGCCGTCCGCCCCGGAGGTCTCGGGCTGGAGGCGAGCGCAGCGGGGCCGGGGGTGAGGCCGCAGGGCGGGGGGCCGCCCGAGAGCAGCGCGGGGAAGGCGCCGC